TAGGCCGTCTGCAGCGCCGCTCGCGTTGTGTGCAAACGAAGAAATGTAAGCGGTTTGATGTTGCACGTTTGAAGGATGTCCACAGCACTGACTCATCTGGAAACATCACACGAGTTGCTGATGTCTATCGTGAATGCCTCACAAACAGTCTGCAACAGCCGAATGAACATACCACCGTTGAATGCAAATGGTCGAGGTTGCGCACCGCGGTCACCGAGTCTGCAGAGGAGACCCTCGGTTTTCAGAAACGTCGTCAACCAGATTGGTTTACTGAGAGCAAAGATACCCTCGAACCCTTGTTGAATGAAAGGAATCAGCGATATCAAGAATGGATTTCAAGTGGCAGGTCTGATGACACGTGGAACAGGTTCAAGGCTGCCAGGAGTAAGGCAAGAGCTGCTGTCCGCTCTGCCAAGAACTCCTGGTTCACCAACAAAGCCAAATCTCTTGATGGTGCACGGTTCAGTTCCTCACGGGTGTGGGCATGTGTTAAGGATATGCAGGCTGCCAAGCAGGGATTACGCCCTGTGTCTACTACCGCTATTAGGGATGCAAATGGCAACATCTGCAAATCTGTGGAGGAACAAGGTGGACGATGGTACCAACATTTCGATGGCGTACTCAACATCCCTAGCACATTTGATCCATGTGCCATTGACGAAATAGACCAGCAGCCTATCAACCAGAACATCGCTGGCAAGCCGGATGCAGCAGAGGTGGCGCGAGCTATTCGACAAGTCAGCAACGGCAAGGCCGCTGGCGCCTCAGCTATCCTGCCTGAGTTGGTCAAAGCGGGTGGTGAGAGTTTCATGGAGGCACTGTTGGATCTGTTGCACCATGTCTGGGATGACGAGGCTGTTCCGCAGGAATGGGTAGACTGCAACCTTGTGCCAATCCCAAAGAAAGGTAACCTCTCATTGTGTGATAATTGGCGTGGCATATCACTCCTGGATGTTGTTGGGAAAGTTGCTGCTCGAGTACTTCAGTCCAGATTACAGATTATTGCGGAGAATATTCTACCCGACTCCCAGTGCGGCTTTCGTAAGGGTCGATCTTGCACAGACATGGTGTTTGCAGTTCGCCAAGTCCTGGAGAAGTTGTACGAACATCGCTGCCCGGGATACGTTGTCTTTGTTGATTTACGTAAGGCGTACGACTCAGTAAACCGTGAATGCATGTGGCTGATTCTCGCGAAGGCAGGGGTCCCTAGTAACATCGTAAACATCATCAAGTCGTTTCACACCTCCATGTCGGCTACTCTCTCCATCGGGTCAACACCCATCCAACCCATTGCAGTGAAGAGTGGTTTGCGGCAGGGCTGTTGTATGGCACCAGTCTTATTCAACATATTCATGTGGGCTGTTTTCCAGAGATGGTCCAGAGTGGTCGAGCATGTGCCTGGTATCGGCGTCCCGTTGGCATTCAATCCTGGGGGCTCGCTTTATTTCAAGAGAAAGCGTACTGACGATCAGACTACCATCAACGACTGCCAGTTCGCTGACGACTCTGCACTGTTTGCCACTACCCGTACTGCTGCTGCTCTTGCTTGTGTGTGTGTGTGTGTGTGTGCGTGTGTGTGCGTGCGTGTGTGCGTGCGTGTGTGTATAGTGTGTGTGTGTATTTATAACTTGTGTGTGTGTGTGTGTGTGTGTGTGTGTGTGTGTGTGTGTGTGTGTGAGTGATGTGTGTGTGTGTGTGTGTGTGTATAGTACGTGTGTGTGTAATACTTCCGTTGTGTGTGTGTGTGTGTGTGTGGCTGTTCGCGTGTGTGTGTGTGTGTGTGTGTGCGCGCGCGCGTTCGTGTGTGTGTGTGTGTATGATTTCGGATACCTGCTGCTGGGCGTATGCAGTCAATATATGGTGTACCTGAACCTCAATTTTTTTCTCCCATTGAACAACATTCCGTGACCGTGCTGCCACCCTTATTTCACATTTGCTTTGTAGTGCTCCTGCTCATTTTTTTCTATTTTCGTATTTTTCTGTTTGGCGCGCATGAGCAGTGCTGAGGCCGAGACCCCTGGTCGGTTTAGCTGCTCTTGCCCCGCCTCCACTGCTTCGGCTGCCATCGCTATGAGCATCCCTGTGCGTTTTTGCCGGCGTTTGCACCATGATGGTTTGTGGTTATCTTGTAAAAAAGTGTGTGTGTGTGTGTGTGTGTGTGTGCTTGTGTGTGTGTGTGTGTGTGTTTGTGTGTGTGTGTCTGTGTGTGTGTTATCCCATCACTAGTTGCTGTGTCTAACGTAGCTGTTCTTTACCCATTGCTTCTGCGATAGGCAGGTCTGAGATCTGGGATCTGAGGTGTGTGTGTATTTTTGGATGTGTGTGTCTGTTTGTGTGTGTTTTGTGTGTGTGTGTGTGTGTGTGTGTGTGTGTGTGCATGCGTGCATGAGTGTGTGTGTGTGTGTGTGTGTGTGTGTGTGCGTTCAAGTGTGCGTGTGCATCAACATGTGTATGAATGTGGGTATGTGTGTACATGTCTTGTCTTTGCTGCTACTTCCAGGATGATAACACACCATTACATTATGCAGCATCACATGGTCATGTTTCCACAGTGGAATATCTTCTCACTTCTGGACATTCGTTGGAACCAAGGAATAATGTAAGTCAGATTATCCCTGATACATGCTCGTTTTTATGAGCAGAAAGAAGAATTACGCAGTTGAATACTTTCTTGCGAGTAAACTTCCGTGCCTTCTCTTCATGTTGTGACGTACCTTCTCCCGTACATTGTTTCCTTCCGCATCAACAAGGTAATATAGCGGCATGAGCAAATGAGAGCAAGAACAATGAATTATGTATAGGCATGATGTATATTGGTCACGTATTAATCATCGTTGTTTTTAGCTATTCTGCTTTGACCTGGTTTTATCACTACATTGCTGTTCATAATTTATTGTGAAAAAGGAGAAGGACACAATGTTCCGAGTTATGACTAACTGTCCACCAACGTAACCAGACCTTATACAGTCAATGAGTGCGACCATTTTTTTATTTTATTTACAATGAACACAGCTCACAGGCAAAGACGAAAAAATTGCATAGTGGGAGCATAGCGATGGTAAGGCTTTTTGCCCTCAGCCAACCTGAGGTCTCGACGTCATGGGGACATAAAACACACCAAAAAGAAAAAAGAAGAAACAATTGAAAGGAGTGACAGGTACATGATACGAAATGTTAGGAGGAGAGACAGGACGTTTCAAGGAGGAAAAGATCACACAGCCAGTGTTAGGTGGAGAATGAGAGAAAAGAAGAACAGTTGTTATTGGGAGGAGCATTTGGAGCAGAATTTAAAAGTCATGGGGTGAGGCAGTTGTGATGCTGATACTCAGAGATGGTTATGTGCCCACGACCAGTCGTTGGTCTTCAAAGAATGGTTGGCTGCAACCTTTTAATGTTGCAAGTTCTTGGTGCAGAATGGACCAGAGAAGACTCCGGCGGGCAGCTGGTTCCAGATGGGGACAACTGTGTGAGGGTAGGCTCGGCACAGGTTGTTTCGGGAACGGACTGGAAGTTCATTTGCCAGTTGTTGTGCATGGGCATAACATCTCTAAATCGTACTACGGGTGGAGTGGACTGTTTGATGTTGGGGTTGCTGGGGTGGCAGCATCCTCTGTAGAAGGGGATGTGCATCTGGACAATCCATCTTGTACAGGAGGCAAAGTGCTGCAACCATCCTACGAAGAGCAAGACTCGGTAGCCAAAACATTGGGGCGATGGTTTGGATGGCCCGGGCTTGCACACGGTCGAGTCTTGCAAGATGGGATGGGGCTGCTAACATCCAAACGATGGGGCAGTACTCCATCACTGGGCGCACAAAGGCATTGTAGGCTTGGTTGCGACCGGGCACGTCTAAAAGGTGGAAAGCCTAACAGAAAGCGCCAAGTCGGTGTGTTGCCCGGAGGGCTACGATATGAAGGTGGCGCCGGAAGGTAAGCTGACCATCAAAACTGACGCCTGAGCTCCTCTTCTTCCCTCAGGTTAGATCCATTGAAATCAATCTGTGGCATGTTCCATTGGGTGCGTTGGAAGCTAACAGTCAGTTCTTGGGATTAGGCTGGTTCAAATTTCTATCTTCCATTCTTCACTTCAGAGGGAGATGTTGTTGACTGCTAGCCGGAGGGCTTGGGTGGTGGAGGTGATGTTGGCATGCAGTGTAGTGTCGTCTGCGAATGAGGCTAGGTCAGCACTGGCTGGTACGTGGTCCTCGCAGTCGTTCAGGTATATGAGGAAGAGAGTCGGACCCAGAATACTGCATTGGGGTACTCCAGTCTGAATTGGGGGCCTTGAGGATGTCTGGCCACAAATGACCACTTGAAGGTAGCGTTCAATGAGGTAGCTGCTGAGCCACTGGTGCAGTTGCCCACGCAAGCCGTATACGTTGGACTTGTGTAGCATACCGAGGTGTGATACGCGATCAAACGCGCCGGCTATGTCAATGGTTAGTATGCATGCTGCGCCTTTCTCCCCGGCTGTAGGAAGCCACTGGTTGTGGAGGCTGGAGAGGAGGTCGGCTGCACTATGGCCATGGCGAAATCCTAACTGTCTTGCGGAGAAGACGTTGTTCGACTCGAGGAAATTATCGTTCTGTTGATGATTGTCTCCATCACTTTGGACAGAATACACAAGAGCGACACTGGGCGGTAATTGGAGGGTAGAGACTTTTCCGTTTGAGTATAGGGACTATGTTGGCAATATTCCATGTCTTGGGCTGTATCCCATTTTGGAAGCATTGTGTGAACAGTTTAGAAAGAGGTTGTTCCAGTTCAGCAGAGCAGATTTTCAACACACGTGCCGGTATCCCATCTGGCCTGGTAGCCTTTGATGGGTTGAACTGCCAACGGGTGCGCTCGACAGCAGCTAAACGGAAACGGCCATCCGAAAGAGCCTGCTCATTTCGAGGCCTGACATATGAGAATGGGGCTGACAGGTCATCTTGGCCAAGACTGCATTTACCTCCAACATAGCGTGCCATGCATTCTGCTTTGTCTGCGCCGGCTGTGTACTCACGTCCATCGGGATCACGTAATGTCGGAACAGATTGACGACGCCCTTTGCCAGAGGCACACTTGACGGTGTGCTACTAGTCACTGGGTGGCAGCTGCTTTGAGGTCATTTTCTGTCTCAGTTTCGCCATAAAAGCACTCTCGCAGTTTTGAGACATTCAACCGTTGAGAGCCTAGCACCTTGGTAAGCTGACCCGTCAATTGTCGTCAGAGGCGTCACCTCTCAGGTATCTCCACGCACGTCATTTCCTCACTGTTGCAACAGTGCACTCAGGGGTCCACCATGGAGGGTGGAATGCACCGGTTTTCAGGGCATTAGAGGGGATGAATCTCTTCATACCCTCCAGGATCCTCTCTGAGATGCCATTGCATGACAGGTCTGGATCAATCCAAGCAATAGCTGCCCAATTGGTGGATCTGACGAAGTGACGGAGCCTGGCCCAATCTGCAAGCTGACACTTCCATACAGTTCTTGATATGGGAGGCTCGCGTGATGCATGGATCTGGAAGTCGGCAAGTAGACAGGCATGGTCAGATTTGCCAAGAGGTGGCAAAACAGAAACAAATGATTCTACGGGAAGGTCGGACATCATCTGGGCCAGTGTGTTGCAGCCGTGCGGTGGTTGGTCGACTAGGCTAGTAGCTGTTCAACACTGTGCATATAGCACGTGTTCTCTGCATGCTCGACACTTCTAAAAGTAGTTGTTCTGCTACTGTGGAGCCACTCTTGGTTATGCACATTGAAGTCCCAGCAACTATCATAGCAGTGTTGCGGCAAAAATGGCACAAAACTGACAAGGAGTACTGAGACATTCGGCGACCTGACTACTAGCTCCAACACTTCTCCAAGGTGCACAAACCAACAACCTTCCAACTTGGAAGGCTCAGGTTCGGAAAGGTCCAAGAGGGGAAGGAAAGCGCAACTAAGAAGAGCACGAGCTACGTGCCACGGCAACAAAGAATGCCAAATGTTACTGGATGATGACGAAACTAGTAAGACTATTGGACATACCGGCCTTGCTACAACTCGACGACGCAACAGACCACCCAACTTGGGAGGCTCAAGTTTATGTGGAAAACAAAGAAAGGGGAAGCTAAGCGAAGACGAATAGTGACAAACCGAAACGTCAACAGTCTATTGAACTTCACTACACTGTATCATTCAAGTATGATAGACTAGTTATGTGCAGTAACAAGTTGTTCCACACTACGAACGCTTCGCCGCATAGGTTATGGCGGCTCATAAGGTGTGCAAAGTTGAACTCGGATGGTGAGCCAATTAAATTATGGTGAAAAAGGAGAAGGACAAAATGTTAGAGTTAGGGAAGGCCTCTTTTACGGGCAAAGCAAAGCACAATCAACACCATGTATCAGTACAGTGAATAGTTAAACCCAACACGAATGAAAAATGTGAAATGAAATAAAAACAATATTTGTAAAAAAAAAAAAAATTAAAATTCAATATCGAACACGAATAAAATAAAATAAAAATATGTAAAAAATAAACAATATCGAACACGGAATTAATTCCGGAACTATCTACTCATACAATTCATAATGCAATACCCGCACACTGTGTCAGTGATGGAAGGACAACATGTTACGAGTTATGATTAACTATCCACCAACGTAGCCAGATCTTATACAGTCAGCGAGTGCGACAAAATAGTGGTTGGTGGACAGTTAGTCATAACTCGTAACATTTTGTCCTTCTCCTTTTCAGCCATAATTGAATTGGCTCACCATCCGAGTTCATAATTCATTGTATTTACTCTTGTTCTCTTTTGCTCATATATCACCTGAGGAGAAGGTACGGAAGTTTCGTTTTCAGAACGTTGTTGGAGAGCCTGAGGTTTTTCCTATCAACATTTTTCCTTAGGTTCATTAGCCTGGAAAGCGATAATAAGTTACTTGCGTCACCTCAAATGTTCTCGTAAGTCCAATGTCTTGAAGAGATCTGGTATATGTTTCCAAGTGGGCTATTCGAGGATCGCAGCATCTCGGCTTCCTCCGGAATCCCTCTCGAGCGCTGGACTCGAGGTGTCATTGTGTGATCTGTAAGCGCTTTGTCTGCCTGGGCACAAACCACTCTGGCTTGCCCATCCAACAGAGTGGCCATCGCCTAATCGGCCAGGGACCGTACCTTTGCCTCCTGTACAATATGCATTGTCCAGATGCACATCGCCTTCTACAGAGAATGTTGCAACCCCAGCAGCCCCAATCCCAAACAGTCCACTCCACCCGTTGTGCGTTTCAAAGATGTAACGCCCACGCACACGGACTGGCAAATGAACTTCCAGTCCCTTCCCGAAACAACCTGTGTCGAGCCTTACCTCGCGCAGTTTTCCCCGTCTGGAACCAGCTGCCCGCCGGAGTCTTCTCTGGTCCATTTTGCACCAAGAACTTGCAACATTTCAAAGTTGCAGCCAACCGCTGTTTGAAGAACAACGACTGATTGTGGGCACAGTATCAGCATCATATCTGCCTCAGCCCATGATTTTCAAATTCCGCTCCATGTACTCATTCCAATAACGTGTTTCCTTCTTTTCTCTCCTTCTCCTCCTAACACTCTCTGTCTTATCTTTCCCCTCCTTCT